AGAGAGAAAGGGAGGAGGAAGAGGAGGAAGAGAGAGACAGAGGGAGGGAAAGGGCGAGAGGAGAGAGAGAGAGAAGAGAGGGAAGGAGAAGAAAGAGAGGGAAGAAGAGGAATAGAGAGGGAGGGGGAGAGATGGGGGAAGGAAAAGGGAGAAAGGGGGGAGGAATAGAGGGAGGGAGGAGGAAGAAGAGGAGGAGGAGAGAGACAGACAGACACTGAGACAGAGAGGGAAAGAGTGAGAGGAGGGAGAGAGGGAGGGAAAGGGTGAGAGGAGAGAGAGGGAGGGAGGGAGGTTGGGGGCAGGGCAGATCTGTGATCCAGTTATTTAATTTGTCAAATATTTATTAAACACCAGTGTTAGAAGATGCCTCACTTGGCACCAGAGAATAAAAGCCAAAAATACGGTAGTCTCTTAATTAATCAACACGCATTTATTAAGTGCCTACTAAGTGCTAGGAACCTGTCTTAGGAACTGGATATAAAAAGGCAGAACTGAGACAGAGAACCTTCACAGAGCTTATGTTTCTTCAAGGGAGATGCCATACACATTTTAAGCACCCATGATCTCTACAAAGTCATTTTCTGGAAGTAGCATTGGCCTCTTGGGGGCACCAGGAAAGGTCTCAAGTAGGAGGACATGCCACTAGAGCTGAGCTTTAAAGAAGACTAGAGAATCCAAGAGGAGAGGAAGGGAAAGCCTGCTAGGAGGCACAGCTTATGCAAAGACACAGGGAGGGGATTTAGTGGATGGGGTTTGAAGAACCGAAAGAAGACCCGTTTGACTGGACTGTAGGGAAGGATGTGTCGTGTGCAAAGGAAGGTGGGAGCCAGAGTGAAAGGACTTTCAGTGCCAGAAGGATTAAGGAACCATAGGAATTCATTGGGCTTTCTCAAGGAACCCATATTCTGTGTTTAATTTAAATTAAATTTAAAAAAAGCACATACAAAATTAGCTTCAAGAAGTTTAGGGAGTGCATTTACTTATCAGGAAAGGTTCATGCACGAGGTGACGTTTGATTCAAGCCAGGAATTCGACAGGGCCAGTGGTTTGGCCAGTAACTGTCTTTGTGATCTTATGTAAGTTTATTCTCCACTGAGGTGGAGAATTGGACTTGGAAATATCTGAAATCCCCCTTAGTTTGAACATTCTGTGATTTTTCTCTGTGGTGCAGTAGAAAGCACAGTGGTTTGGAGTCGGGGGACTTGGGTTCAAATTCCACTTTTATCTCACTGCCTTTATGACTTTGAGCCTTAGGCCTCAGTTTCCTCATCTGTAAAATGAGGGCACTGGACCGGATGGCTTCTGTGGCCTGGATCTGTCATGCTAGACTTGCTTTTCCTCTTTATTTGGAGTAGTCCCTTTTTTCTTCCTTCATTTTGCCCTCTATTCCCTTCTTTGGCAAGCCTGAATATTTACCAGATGTGGAGCACAGGTTCACAGGTGAAGGTGTAGATTCAGGTTTTTCAAACATCATGATGAATGAATTACCTTCTTTGAAACAGGATGAACTCACTGCAGTCAATGTAAAACAAGGCTTCAATAACCAACCGGCCTTCTCTGGTGATGAGCATGGCTCCGCCAAGAATATCGTCATTAACCCATCCAAGGTAAGGCTCGGTCTTAAACTCAAGCTTCGTTTCTAAACCGTGGAGTGAGCAAAATTCTCTGTTTAGATATATGATTAAGTTTTGTCCAAGCAAATTTTTTTTATGTCCTAAAAATGAATCTCTCTAAACGATGGAGGGGCTGAGCTTAGTTCCGTGAGATGACTCTTCGTCAGGTGAGAGAGTGTTCGTCCAAAGCAGTGTCTCTCCAGCTCAACACAACCATTTTGGGAAATGTGATTGCCAGGAAAAGATGAGCAGTTAATGATTTCATGTTAGTGCCTTTGAAGAAATGGTCCTTAATACAGATTAAACAGAAAGGTTTCCCTGAGCGCTTATGTTCTGTAACTCATGGTATACTTCTGTTAACTTAAAGTCCTTTGATTCATAGTGGCCATGTGACTATGAATTCTACTTCTTGTGCTGGGTAGCTCTCTAAGGTTGCAAGTTAGAAAAGTCTCATAAATGGTATCAATGGAGGGAATGTCCAAGCTGGGAGTTCCCCACATTGAGGAAATCACAGGTTTAGAACAACAACAAAAAAGCAGTTTGTACTTGTTTCTGGGAGATTAAGAACACTTCTCAGAGGACTGGCCAAGCTTGTTTACCTGGTACGAACTATTTGTTCAGTTTCAGTTGAACGTGATATGTTCTTAATTATTAAAATACCAGTGTCAAGAAGAAGGAGGTTGTTATGGTTATAACAACCATCATTATTGAGATTCCTGGCACTGAAATATTTTGGTCCCTTTTAAGCTTTTTTATTCTCTAGAGTATAAAAAGTCAACTTTGTTACATTCTTAAGGCATTTGTGCAGTGGATAGAAGGCTGGACCTGGAGTCAGGAAAACATATCTTCCTGAGTTCAATCTGGCCTCCTGTACTTACTAGCTGTGTGACCCTGGGCAAGTCTCGTAATCCTGTTTGCCTCAGTTTCCTCATCTGTAAAATGAACTGGAGAAGGAAATGGCAAATCACTCCCCTATCTTTGTCAAGAAAACCCCAAATGGGGTGATGAAAAGTCGGATATAATTGACATGACTGAACTGAATGAATGTTTAATGTAAAAATAATGCTTTATAATGTTTAATGTACATTTATCCTCTCAATCTTCTCTGATTGTCCTGGCAACACAGGGAGGCTGGTGGGCTTGCCTTGCCCCTCCAGAGGCTCAGAGGGCTAGCAGAACTTGAACTTGGGCCTGGGTATTCTGACCTTGAGTTCAATGTTCTTTCTACCTACCAGTAATTATGGCATATCAGTCAGTCACTAAGCATTTATTAGGCACATACTGTGTGCCAAACACCTGAATTTCCAAGAAACATTTAGCCCAGTAGTTTGGAAATTTTGACCATGGAGATGGTTTTTGAATTCACAAAAATGTCACATCCCCCCATATGATAGTAAGACTTCGTATCTGATTGAGGAAATAGATGATGGCAAAAAACCAACCAACCAACCAGCCTACTATGGATTCACTACTATGATGCTTGTCAATGAAATTACATTTTTAAATCCCAGCAGCATATGTATTACGTTTGAAAAATAGCAATGCGCTATCTGTGTAGGACATAATATTTACTCAGCCTACAGAGAGTAGAGTTTTTATACTGAATCAAGCTGAATATCTTGTTGGAGCAAAGCATGGATCCACATGGCAATAGTTGGCCTGTGCAAGGATTTGTAGACCCTTTGAGTAACTCGCAATAGCCTCTAAGGAGTCTCTGTGTTTCCATAGATTGGGAACGGTTGTTTAACACACGTTCCCCTCCCCCCACTTCTGCCATTTCTTTGTTACCAAGACAATTCTTTAGTCTCTTAAAAAAGTACCTATTAAATTGGGGGAAATAAACACTTCCAATTAAATGTCAAAAATCATACTTTGGTCTCTCCTTATGCTCTCTTTAAATCTTCTACTTCCCAGAAAATGTTGCTTTCTACAGTATGCATCTGTTTAGAAGGTGTTCATAGGACCCAGGATGCATATGCAATTATACCGAGTTCCATTGGTATTATTAAGTCCATGGAATAAAGTGTAATTATAAAAAGCAAACAGCCCAAATTTTAATCACACACTAATCAAAAAGGATCACGGAATACCTACTTCACATCTTTTTAAAAAATTGCTCTTCTTTCATATTCAGGTAGAGAGATTTGGCTAATTGCTTACACCTGCACGCCAGTCTACAGACTAAATATTTATTGACTCATGAACATTAACTCAGATGATAATTCATCTTTTAAAAATTTGCACAGCTAAGGCTGTACGTCCTATTTGCTGTCACCTTCTGCTGTGTCTGGGGACACAGAGAGGGACTGGCCTACCTTTAAAAAAAAAAGTATCGGATAGGAGAGAGATGCATAAATAGACCTCTTGGGAAAATTGAAACAAGTTTATGTTTGTTGTTGTTATTGTTCAGCCATATCCAACTCTTTGTGACCCCATTTGGGGTGTTCTGGGAAGAGATACAGGAGTAGTTTCCCATTTCCTTCTCCCAACTCATTTTCAGATGAAGAAACTGAGGCCAACAGGTATAAGTGGCTTGCCCAGGGTCACATAGCTAGTAAGTATCTGAGGCCAGATTTGAACTCAGAAAGATCAATCTGTCCGACTCCAGTCCTGGTACCACCTAACAGCCCTGAGTTTATATAGTTTCATCCATTTCCAGTTATTATTCCATTTTGGTCTTTTTTTCCTGAACATTTCCAGATTTTAAAAAAAACCCCAATAATACAGAAATGAAGAAACAGCTCTGTGGGGCTTCTTCACACATTTTTGCAATGTTTGCAGTTATCATGTTGGCAGTATCATGAGAAACGAGTGTTGGTAAAATTGACAGGTCATTTGAAAATTTGGAGCATTGATAAGTTGTTTGCCATGAAAAGAAATTTTAAATTGCCTTTCACCAGTTTTCAGAATCCTTAATGTAAACACAGTTTTCTTTTTGAAAGAGTGATTACTAAAATAAATAAATAAATAAATAAATTGGGGGAGGGGAAGAAAGAGTGATTACTATGTGATTACTAGATTTTTTTCCATTACTGTTAAAACCCAAAATTCACGTTAGGATAAATATTCTCCTAGAGGGTGGGTGTAATTAACATTAATAAGAATGTCTAATGTGGTAAAGGAGGAAGGCTAGCTTTAGAGCAAAGGCAAAAGCCATTTACCTTTAAAATGTTCAAGACTTCCATTTTATCTTGCCCAATGCCTTTAAAGCCCCTCCCCTTTTTTTTTTCCTGGTGGAATAACTTATTTGTAATTTAGATTTCTAAATAACAAAGGTGATATGTGATGTTTAACGGAAATCCCAACTCTTTGCTTCCAGGGATTGACTCTTAATCCTATTATGTGATTGACTAAATTGGTGGCTTTTTTCAATCAAACTGTAACCACAAATTTTTAATATAGCAGGGTGCTTTTTCTTGTTCTTTAAACTTACTTTTCCCTTCTTTTCTCTCTTTTTTTTTCCCTTCCACCAGATTGGAGCTTATTTTAGCAGCATATTAGCAGAGAAACTGAAGCTAAATACTTTCCAGGACACAGGAAAGAAGAAACCACAAGTTAATGCTAAAGACAATTATTGGCTGGTGACTGCCCGATCCCAGAGCGCAATTCACAATTGGTTTTCAGATTTAGCAGGAAATAAACCACTCACTAACTTAGCAAAAAAGGTATTAGTTACTTTTTTTTTTCCACATTGCCTTAATATTTGGTTTTCATCAAAGTGGGGAAGCTCATAATGATGAAACTCCTCCTTCCCTCAAATAGGAGGTGGACTTTGTATATATATATATTTTTCCCCTTTTCCTAGTTTTGAACTGTGTGTCCCATATAGGGATTCTGTCTGAGACGAGAAGCTTCAGATAGAAACACAGTTTATATAGCCTACCGAAGGCAGAGAAGGAAGGACTTTGACGTCCAGAGCATGTATCAGGAACCCACCATTTCCGTGACTCAGATTCCTCGGTTCGAGAAGTCCTTGAAAGCAGAGCTAAGTGTGTACAACTAACTCTCCATGCTTTGTCGGCAACTCACTCCTCTTTAAAAGAAAGCATCTTGAGGTTCCTAGCTAAGTCAAGATTAAGGTTCTAGGTGCTCTTCATCTATGAAAGAGTGAAATGAGCCGAGTTTGCCAGGCTTGTTGGGTCCTTACCATTTCTTTTGATGAGTGTGCCTCAGAATGAACATTTTCTTGTCATGGGAAAAAAGACACACAGGATGAACAATCGTGTAGACCGATTGAAAGAAAATGTTCCTTAGAAGCTAGCTGAAGAGCTAGAAAGCTTTTTTTCTTGGTAAGCTTAGAAATGGCTTCCTTTATCTCTGACCTCTTGTATGGTTTTCCCAATGAGCCCATGGATTTCTTTGCAGTCTCCTCTAAAGCCTTTTTTTTTTGTCCAAGGTATGTCTGTCTTCTTAACTTTTCAGTGGCAGGCCTGGCACTGGCCCAAAGTAGAGAAGAGCTTCCTGGTGGGGTTTTTTCCTTTTTAAACAAAAATCCTTCCAAATAGGACTTGTTGCTTTTTCATTGGTCTTATTTTTGTTACCATGATAGGTTTCTGTGACCAGGCCCAACTGAAATATTTAAATGTATAAACTGACCTACCCAAAACAAGTCAGCTAATCAACATTTATTAAATACCTACTGTGCGCCAGGCACCTTGCTAAGTGTAAACTAAACCTACTCCTGTTCCCTTCCTTTTTGGATCACGTCACTAAAGCTTGTTGGACCGTTTGGCTTTGTCTTTTCCAGTGGTGAATAGTTTACCCAATGACTGCACTTCAGGCCAGGCTAATGTCATCCCGAGTGCGTTTTATTGTTTGCTTTCTCTCCACTAGGAATTCCTATGCCGTTTGTTGGTTAGCGCCTCCAACTCCTGCCTGGCCAATGTGGCATTCTTCTTAGCAGGTTTTCCTGTTCTGGAAGCATTGTAGACATATTTTTGATGCTCCCTAAACGCTCCTGCTGGCAAAGGGACGATGTACTTTGCATTAGAGGTATATTGTTCTAGGAGAGTCATCTTCTAGGAAGGAGGCAAATCCTGGAGCTGTTTGTTAGTCAATGTTCTTCTCTCTTTATTAGGAGCTGCTTACCCTGGCCAAATCAGGTGTTGTTCAGGTAAGCCCTGGCATTCCTTCTTTGCAAATTTATAGCTGTTTTCTTTGTAGAACCATTGAACATAGTTCAAAGTAGTCATTTCTTGAGCTTTTTTTTTTTTTAAAGAGCATTTTCAGTTGGCCTGAGCATCTGTTCCTCTTGGGATTGCAAAGTTATTCGTTCTCTGCATGTTCTTCATAAGTTTTTTTTTTGTTGTTGTTAATTTTTTTAAGTTATGGTATTGGCTTCTTGCATTTCTTCTAGAATTCTTCTTTCAGATAGCTTATGGCAGAAATCCTTGCCTTTCCTGCTGAGGTCATGAATCACCTTCCAACTCTGATCTGGGGTCTAATGTAGTTGGGGGTATGTGAAAAGATCAAATTTCCTAACTTGTTTTGCTGTCAGAATGAACCGTGTAAATTGCCAGGTGTTTTGCTTCCGAGAGATTGACAACTGCATGGTGGGAAGGGGACAGGGTTTTTTAATTGATAGATAGTAACAGCTGGGTTTTGACTGGGAGCCTTCCTTGCTGCTCTGGCGTACTATAGGGAATGTCTCTAAGTTTGGAAAACATCTGTAGTCTTCACTTATCCATTTCAGGTGGTCATCTGACAACTCTGACCTATGCTGGTGATCCGTTTTGGCCCCACTGGGGCAATAGATGATGCCAATGTGGAAAAATGTGGAAAGAGGAATGGGTAGGGAGAAGAGAGGGTTCTTCCATGGGAGGAAAACAATAGCTACATACTGGATGGTCTTAATTTCCTACTGTTATGTAGCTGCAGCTGTTACCTCCCTGAAAAACATTGATTTTATTTCACTTCGAGACAGTTATAATATTACTGTATTTTATTTAACTGTCTTGGAAGACAAGAAGGTATTTACGTATGCCAGATGATTGACTGAATCAAACAGATACCCTAAACTTTTGGCCAATTTTCTCTGTTAAAGATAGTTTCTGTCTCTGTAAGGAAGAGCAAAAATTTTGGTCCATGTGAATCTTTTCCTTCTGGTTTGTATGATTCTTGTGGTTTGGTTCAGCGCTGGCCGTAGCTATAAATTGGACAGAGCTGTTGATCTCTCTCTTCTTCCCTAATTATGTAACTTTCTTCTCATAAATGTGTGTATAAATATATGTATATTTCTTCTGAATTTTAAGCCCTCAAATTTAGCTAACTACTTCTCTTGGGAGATTGCTTGTGAGGGTAACATTAGAGTTTTGCCCAGGGCTATTATAATATCTCCTAGTCGTTCAGTTTTGTTGGCTGTTTCATCTAAATATTTAATATGTTGTATTAAATTTATCTTCTTCAGCTTTTAATCCTCCTGTCGATTGCTGTTGCAAAGAAATCGTTTAGGCTTTCCAGGAAAGATAGCATCAGTAATAACTCTCAGAGGTGGCAAACTTCTCCCGCTTTTGTTTGTCTATCTGCTCTGGATCTTGGTCCTAACACATTTTTTCTGTGTGCCTAACTGAGAAGCAGCCTGGCCTTTGACAGATATTTGACATGCCAAATATTGTGTTAGCGGAAATGGCGGGTCTGACCTTGGGATGAGTAAGCACGTGTTTTCCTGTAAAGGTCTTGAAAGATGTAGTCAGTGAACTGAGAAGCGGGTGCCCTTTAGACGAAACACTTCACAAAACGTCCTCCTAATCCTTGGCCAGATTCATTACAGGGGCCCAGAACCTGAAGCCTTATTCATTAGGCTCACATTCCATTTATTCCCTTTGGAGTTGTGGCTGCAAATTGGAGGGGATGGCCACTGAGGAGGAGAAGATGTGCCTGGCAGCCAGTTGACGGTTTTCAAACTTTTTTTTCCAAATGGAAAGAACCCTGGGCAATGGGAGAGACCTTAGGAGATCATCTTGTTTCTTTCCTTTTGTGGCTTTTGAAACCAAGGTGCTCATATTACTTTGTGACCTTCAGTAGTCCTAAGGAATAGTAGGGGAATGGGTGGAGGTGGGAAATGGAATAAACATTTGTATGCCCACTATACACCAGGCACTGTGTTGTGCACTTTACAGATACTATCTCATTTTATCCTCAAAACAACCCTGGGAGGTGGGTGCGGTTATTATCCCCTTTTTACAGTTGAAGGAAACTGAGGCAGATATAGGTTAAGTGACTTGCCCAGGGTCACATGTCTGAGGCTGGATTTTAACTCAGGGCTTCAGGACTCCAGGCCTGGTATCATGGGGTCATAGATTTAAAGCTAGAAGGGACCTCAGAAGCCTTATTTTACAGATTGGGAAACTGATACTTACTATGTTTGTGACTTGCCCAAGTTCACACAGAACATAAGTAGTAGCAAAAGTAAAATTTGAATCCAGGTCCTTTGACTATATTACCTCTTCTGAGACCGATGGGGCTTGTGTTTTTATTCTCTTCGTTTATACTAGGAGAAATTGTAGGGACTGATTGCTTAAATGATTGGTCCCAGTTTCACACAGGGAATGACAAAACCAGGAACCTTCTTACTTCAAGTTCTGTGCTCCTCTTTTTTTTAAAAAAAAAAAAACCTGTTCTGACCTTAGGACTTAGTGGGTCCGACCTGCTGTCACAGCTGAGTGGACTCAGTCGGCCCCGGTCTCTTGCTCTGGGTTAGTGAGTGGACTAGATTCTGGGGATAAGCAAATCCCTCCTAGGATTATCAGTACTAGAGACTTTGGGAAAGGATCACTAGCCCTTTCTACCAGCTCCCCTTTGCTTCTCTGTGTGCCGGGGCTCCAGCTCCCTCACTGGGTCTGAAAAGAAATAATAAACTTCCCTAAGCACCTGATTTAAATGAATAAATTAACTCCTCCATCATTTTTGTTTCATTTATACGCTGTATTTTCTATTTCAGTTTTTGTTAGGATTGCTGAGGTATCATTTTAGCATTTATGACTTCCATTGAGAGAAAGTGTGATTGAGTAGGCAGACAAAATGGCCTTGGGGTCAGGAAGACCTGGATTTCCTGCTCTGCCTCTGACAGAGACTGCCCGTGTCCCCATGGGCGAGTTACTGGGGCTCTCGGTGCCTCAGGAAAAATTCTACGACCAAGTTTCAGAGCAGGCACCTGTTGGCCGCTCTAGGTGTTTGTTCTATGGCAGTTCCTTATTCAATGTAATCACAGGTCTGGTCAACTCTTCCCTCTCCCCCAGTCCTAATAAGTGCTCTCATTTATGTGGAGCACTGGGTTCTTAGCTGTGGGGTCCATGGATTAACAAGGGAACAGATGTGTGTGTGGGGGTGTCTCTGAACTTGTTTTGGGGAAAGTATCAGATGTTTATTTCAATGTAATTGGTTTCCTTCGTAGCCCTATGCATTTTATTGTATGCATTTAAAAACATGATTCTGAAAAGGAGTCCATAGATTTCACTAGCTTTTATAGACCCTTTTCCAGGGTCCATAAAAGGTTAAGAACCCCAAAGTAGAAGTATCGTATACAAAGTATAAGTACGGATAAGGCTTACAAAATGCTTAGCTTACAGCTCTGTGAAGTATATCATGTAAGTGTTATTATCACGAGTTACAGAGGAGGGAACTGAGGCTAAGAAAGGTTAAATGACATAAAGTCACTCAGTGAAGTTAGTGGATTTAAACCCAAGCACCGAGGTGGACGCTGTTCATTACCCTTCCATATGAACCTCCTGCCTCCATATTAGTTAGCCTCCTGCTCTTCTACATTAGTGTTTGGCCCCTCCACATTAATGCTCAGCCCCTCCATATAAGCTTTCTTGCCTCTCCATATTAACCTTCAGGCTGCAGGCACCTTTGAAGTTTTTTGCATTCTGTGTGACTTAGGAAATACCAGTATTGCAAAGCGTTTGACAAGAAGTGTTTTTTTTTTGGAAAGTAAGACTTGGGGGGGGGGCGGGGTGGCGACAGCGGCACAGTTTTACACTTCAGCTCTAGTCTCGGGTTTATTTGAAATATTTCCCCTCTACTGTTGCTGATAAGACTCAGGTTTTAGCATCTATGTGAGTTATGAGAAAATTCACAAACATTTTTTCTCATTTTCAAAATGGGTTTGGAGGGGCAGCTAGCTGGCGCAGTGGATAGAGCTGTAGCCCGGAAGTCAGGAGGACCTGAGTTCAAATTCAGCCTGAGACCAAACACTTGACCCTGGGCAAGTCACTTAACCCCAATTGCCTAAAATAAATAAATAAATGAATAAATAAATAAATAAATAACAACAAACAAAATGGGTTTGGGTTATATTTTTGGGGGGATGAATCTGTATGTCAATTTTGTAGGTTAGTGTCTTGTTCAGGGTCCTATGGCTAGTTTAGTGCAGAGCTGACCCTGGAACTCAGGTGTTCCCACCCGCATTTCAGTAGGCTTTGAATTCTACTGGGCTGTTCCTCTGGACAAAAGTAAGAACTTCATTCCTAGTTAAAACCTCTTGACAAATCTACTAGCAGTTGCTGAATTTTCATCCCATTCACTGTTCCCTTGCAAGTAAGTAAATTTCATTTTTGACTTGTCTTTTCCCCCACCCCCTTTTGCTCCTTCTTTCCTTAGAAATAGATTTGGAGTCAAACCTGAGTTTGAAACTTACTACTGTGTGACCTAGTGGGTGACCTGGTCCTCCAGGGACCCTCAGTCTCCTTCTGTATAAAATTAAGGGGCTGGAAGAGATGAACACCAAGGTCCCTTCCAGCTCTGAATTTTAAATCTTCTGAATATTATAAATATTGATTTCTTTTTCTCCCTCTTTTTAAGGTTCCTATCCTTAGCAAAAAGGAGGATGTTTTTGCATATTTAGCAAAATATTCAGTGCCATTGCTTCGGGCAGCATGGTTGATCAAGATGACATGTGCCTATTATTCTGCTATTTCTGAGGCTAAGATTAAGAAGCGCCAGGCAACTGATCCGAATATGGGTGAGTTATTGACTGCAATTCCTCAATTTTTTCATTCAGCAAATGTTTAGATTTTCCTGTGCTGCTAGGTCCTGTGCATGGTACCCAAAAAAGTTAGGTTATTGTTTTCTCCAACTGTTCAAGTTTAGTCTCGAAAAACAAAAACACCCTATAGCTTCTAGGTAAAGATGCTTTGTTTACATTGATGTCATTTCGTAATAACTGCCCCAAATTGAACTATCCATTGTAATTAAAAATACAATTAAAACAAAAAACAGCTCAACGAATTGACTGTATCTGACGACTTATGTCTCACTCCCCACCTGTAGTCTGCCAGCTCTCCGAGAAGAGGGAGATGAATTTTATCATCTGTCCTCTGGAGTCAAGATTGGCCATTGCTTTGATATGACTCCTGGTATTTTTGAGTACTGTTTTCCTTTACATTATTGTGACCAGGATATAAATTGTTCTCTTGATTCTGCTTATTTTGTGCTGCATCAGTTTATACACGTCTTGCCATTTCTCAGAGTTGTTCCTCTTTGTTGTTTCTTATCGTGTAGAAGTATTTCATTCATATACTGTAATTTGTTCAGCTGTTCCTTAATTGACAGGCTCTCATTTTTATTTCCAGTTTTTGCTACCATAAAAAGCGCTACTATAAATATTTTTGTACATAGGGGACCTTTCTCTGTCTTTGACTTTCTTCAAGCCCACTAGTGGTATGGTAGGTGGTAGGTCATAAGTATTTGAATCATTCTCTATAGTTCCAAATTGTTTTCCACAGTAGTTAGACAGATTTATAGCTCCATTAAATGTGTTAAAATGCCTGCCTTCACACAGCCTCTCCAACATAAACCAAATCCCTCTTTGTCACCTTTGCTGATTGTGAGATACACTTTAGTCACTTTAATTTTAATTATTAATGATTTGGGGCATTTTTTCAATCGGTTGTTGATCATTTGTATTATTGTTCCCAAAGCTATTTGTACACATCCTTTGACCACTTATCTCTTAGTGATATTAGAGATATTTGATTCAATTTTCCCCGCATATCAACAGTTTCTCTTCTCATATGTCTACCTTAATCCTCAGAGCAGAAGGTTATGACTGTCTTAAATTAAGTATGAAACTGCCATGGCTATACAGGCTAAGATTATTATTAGATGTCTTCTTTAGTCTGGAAAGTCTGAAGTAATCACGAAGAAGATAGATGGGAGAACATAGATTGTTTCGTTTTGTTTTTTTAATTTGATGAGGCAATTGGGGTGAAATGACTTGCCCACAGTCACACAGCTAGTAAGTGTTATGTGTCAGGAGAATATGGATTGTTCGCCAAATTCTGAAGTTCTAATATGAGCTACAAAGCTGCCTCTGTGGAGAGAACCTATATTTTTAGAGGGAAAAAATGATTATTCCAGCTGGTGGCAAACAACAATAATAACAAATAATTGATAAACTGATACTTTGACATGTAATCAACCTATGGCTCTTTTTAACTTCTCACTGTGACCAAGTCCAAGGGATGATACTTTCTTTGTATCCCTGGCACTTAGCATAGTACCTGGCATGTAGTAGTAGGTGCTTAATGTTTTTTTGACTGACTTGACTGAAATATCCTATTAGATGCCCCTTTGTCACTGCTTTTCCTCAAAAAGACTATCCTTGATTTTCATTTTAACCTAATTTCACCTGGATACAAATAGTGATTGGCAGAAGACAATGTACTGAATTGGAAAGAATCAAGAGTCAAGAGTCTTAGGTTGTAGCTCATTTGCTCTATGATGTATGAATGTATGGTCACATATACTTCTCCCACATTATCCACTTTCCCCAAAGAGTTCTTTGGTGCTGCCATCACTATGGAGTGGATGGCCCATGGGTAGGACCCAATGTAACAGTCTTTTTGTTCCTCTACTCAACCTTTTGAAGAATTCCTGAGGAATTGAAGGACTCTACCAGAAGAGAGGAAGCCTCCGTGTTCCTGCTGCAGTGACTGTACCATGAGGTCTATCCAGAACAGGAAGGAGAGTGACGGGGTCATTTTGGCAGAACTTTGGAAGTTTGGTTAGGAAGGAAAAATCACTAAGCTGGGCTGGGTAAAGGGAGATCAGTGAAACACCTGCATTTGGGAAGAGATATATAAGTGACTAATGACAGAGAATCTTCGTGCACAGGACATACCAGATCAATGAAATAGCATAAGCCCTCAATTAAATTCTTTTGATATTGGATACATTTGCTTTAGGGACATAAACAAAAGGATATTCGAATGGAATGTTTAAAGCTTAAAAGACATTTCGATTATTTTTTTTTTGTGGATCTTTGATTGGGATGCATTCCTCCCCCCAATCCCTAAGTCAGCAGTAAGCATTTATTAAGCACCTGCTATATCCCAGGCACTGTGTTAAGTCATGGGGCTACAAAGAAATGCAAAACAGGCCTTGTTCTCAAGGGACTCACAATTTAATGGGGGAAACCGCATGTAAACAGCTACATACATTAGAGATAATCACAAGGCAAAGTCATTAGCGTCAGGTGGGCTAGAGGAAGGCTTCTTGAATAAGGTGGGACTTTAGTAGAGACTTAAAGGAAGTCAGGGACACCAGGAGACAGATGAGGAAGGAGAAAATTCCAGGCATAGTAGATAGTCAATGACCCTGTTACGACCCTAAAGTGTTTTTGTCTTTTCTCAAAATTTTGTTTATATTTCCATTTTTACGTGACCTTCCAAAGAGAACTTCCCTTTCTTCATAACAAGAATAAAAAAAGAGAGTAAAATAAAAAGTTCAATAAAACCAAACTTTCAATCTTGTTTGACAATACATGTAATAGTTCACACCTATAAATCTCTTACCTCTGTAAAGAAGGGAAAAATGTGCATTTTTTGAGTTTCTTTCTTTCTCTCCTTTCTTCTTTTTAGTTTTCAACATTTTCACTTTTATTAAGTTTAAGTTCCAAATTTTCCCCCCTCCCTCCTCTCCCCCTTCCCCAAGACGGTATGTAATCTGATATAGGCTACACACGTACAATCATATTAAACATATTTCCACATTAGTCATGTCGTGAAAGAAGAATCAAAACAAAAAGGAAAAACCACAAGAAAGAAAAAAAAAGAGAGAAAATAATGTGCTTCAATCTGCATTCAGACTCCATAATTCTTTCTCTGGATGTGGATAGCATTTTCCTTCTTGAGTCTTTTGGAATTAAGAATGTGCATTTTCTCAACCCTCTTCAAGTATTTTTTCCGCTCTGTATCTGGGCAGAACTATACCTAAACTACTCCAGATAAATGGGATTCTGTCCCATTTTCAAACATCTCCAAGGATTCTGAAACCTGGTTTTCTAGTACTTCATACATCTGGTGGGTTTTTAAATTCTCAGGGCAAATACTCTCTTTTCTGACATAGATAGATTTCTTACCCATGTGCGATTATTGGCCATCTTTTCACATAAATTCTTCAAAGAGATTCCACCTGAATCTCTGGAGTATTTCCTAATACTGATGTGGGAGATGGGGTACCAGTGCACTGCTCTGGTACATTGTTGTTCCTCATTTTTGCTCCCTGACTTACCCTCCTCCCATTGGCCTTGAGATGTCTCATATGTCCACGTTGCTGCCCACAACCTGTTGCTTTTACCTATTACATTGCTCTTCTTGGTGTTCCTCGAGCTGGACACTCTATCCACATGCCTTTTTCACTGGTGGCCCCCCATTGCCTGGAATCCTTTCCCCTCCTTTCCTCTGCTTCCTGGCTTCTTTGGCTTCCTTGGCTTCCTTCTTGACTCAGTTCAAATCCCACTTTCTACAGGAGTCATGCCTGCTACTAGTTCTATCTCTCTAAGGCTACCTTCTGTTTAGTGTATATATCTTGTTAGTACATGGTCATTTGCATGTTGTCTCCCTCGTTAGAATTTGAGCTCCTTGTAGGCAGGGACCATATTTTTGCCTTCTTTTCATATCCCCAATGCTTAGCAGCATACCTGGCACATATTAAGTACTTAAGAATGCTTGTTGAAGGGGCAGCAAGGTGGCGTAGTGGATAGAGCTCCAGCCTTGGAGTCAGGAGGATCTGAGTTCAAATCTGGCCTCAGACTCTTGACACTTATTAGCTGTGTGACCCTGAGCAAGTCACTTAACCCAGATTGCCTCACCCCCCCAAAAAAAATGCTTGTTGACTTAATGACTATTAGTAGAAATAATAAAATGATAGGACTGATTACGTCTGCAAAATCAATCATTATCATAGTCACATCTTACAGCTGTGGTGATTTTACTTCTGACCATCTTGTTAGTTTGTAAGGGGTGTGGGCTGGTTCCCTGTCTGCCTTAGGAGAATAGGACCTTTCTTTGTCCTCAAAAGAGGAAAATCAGCTCATGGAAAAAGAGCTGAGGAATGACTTACCAATGACGGTGACTTTAAACAGTATCTGGAATGAGAGAGATGACCCTGCCACTGCACTCTGTCTTGTTTAGACCCCATTTGGACTACTGTGCTCAGTTTGTAATCATATTTTAAGAGAGAGATTGAAAACACTCTAACATGCATATAGGATGGTGCCCAAGATGGTGAAGGGTCTGGCTGAAGGAACCAGGGGCATTTAATCTAGACTCAAGAAGATATTGGGGGATGGAGGTAGGCATGGCAGCTCATTTTCAAATATTTGAAAGGATTTAGAAAAGCCAGGGGGTGGAGTCAGAAAGAGGACCAATGTTTGGAAGTTACAGGAAGACAGATTTTGCATCATTCATAAGACTAAAGAAATAACCATCCCTCCTCTTATTAGGTAGTGAGCTCTGTGTCACTGCCAGTGTTCAGACTGGCTAGATGGTGACCTGTCAGGGATATTGTATAGGTGCATAAGAAGGGTTTAGACTGATTACCTCTATGATCCCTTTCAGCACTAAGATTCTCTGCTTCTCTAATTCTTAACTAGAGTAGAAGAGATTGGTCTTCTGTCTTTTAAAATTCATGTAAGTAGGAGTAACTAACCAAGGTTGTACCTAACTATACTCTTCTGGA